CGGGAGCTCGAGTTGATAAGCTACCTTTCCTATCTTCCTTAGAATCTTGAAGGGCCCGTAGAATTTAGGGGCCAGCTTAGGGGGCCCCCGGCGCTTGAGAGACAACTGCCTGTATGGTTGGAGTTTCAGCCAAATGTACTGCCCCGGTTCGAAGGTGACTTCGCAGTGCTGCTGATCGTAAGCGTGTTTCATACGCGCCTGCGCCTGCTGTAAGCGCAAGGAGACTTCGGCCAGGAGGGCATCGCGAGCTTGGAGGCTGTGGTCCACTTCTTCCAACCGCGTTGAGCCCGGCTCGTAGGACAGAAGGCGTGGAGGATCTCGACCGTACACCACTTTGAAGGGAGTCATTCCAAGGGAGGAGTGATAAGATGTACTGTAGCAATATTCAGCCCATGGGAGGTACTCCACCCAGTGCCGTGGCTGGTCACCCACGAAGCAGCGAAGGTACATCTCAATTGTCCGGTTCACCACCTCTGTTTGGTCGTCTGACTGTGGATGGTAGGCTGAGGAGAAGGCGAGGGCCGTGCCCTGTAATCTAAAGAGTTCCTTCCAGAATGTGCTTGTGAAGATCGGGTCCCGGTCACTGACGATGGACTCGGGGAGTCCATGTAGGCGAAAAATGTGGGTGAAGAAGGTATGGGCGACCGAGACTGCGGTGTAAGGATGAGATAAAGAGAGGAAGTGAGCATATTTGGAGAACTGGTCCACTACCACGAACAAGACTGACTTCCCCCCGACTTTGGGCAGCCCTTCGATGAAATCCATGGCAATATCGGCCCAGATCTGCGTTGGGAGGGAGAGAGGTTGGAGCAGGCCTGCGGGGTGCAGATTTTCCCATTTTTGTTGTTGGCAAACTGCGCAGTTCTGGATAAAGTCCCGCACCGAGGCCCTCATAGCTTGCCAGTGGAAGTCAGTGTGAATATGATGCAGCGTTTTTTGGATACCCTCGTGTGTCGAGTGGTGTATGCTGGCGATGATGGAGGGGATTAGGGGGCAATCRGCGGGAAGGTAGATCTTCTTTTTGTAGAGCACCAGCCCATCGTGGAGAGACCAGTTCGGGTTAGCAGACCCAAACTGTATTTGTTGGACCAGGTCGTTCCATTCTGATGACTGTGGCAGTGTGTTCCGAATGTCTTCTAGCAGGGTGGCTCATGGTTGGGAGATCGCATGGAGGAGCATACTATCTTCTTCTCGTCGGGACAG